TAGTCCCTAGTCGTGTGGAAAAGGAAATAATTACCCTGTTTCAGTTGTCTTCTTTTTTTGCAATTTTATTAAAATAGGTGTGTTATGCTTAATTCTGACTTAGTCAAAGTAGTGACCGAGTAGGTTTTAGTCATTGATGAATTGATCATATGTTGACCAAGTATTAGGAGAAATGAAGAATAAAAAGTTCCCCATTTTTCTCTTTGCTTTTTTTTCTATTGTGTGCAAACCTAATCCTATATTGGTAAAATAAGAAACTAGATGCTAGCATATAAAACAATGAGTAATCATTTCTATCACTAATTGGTTTTAGAAAATAGAACCTCATTATTCTTTTATGTTGGGCTAATAGCGATCCAAACAAGGTGTACTTAGGGTATTATATATTTACGAAGTACTTACTATTTGTTGATCCTTTTAGTAAAACAATAAAGTATCATTGGCCCTTCTTGCAATAGATTTATGACAGGTAAGTGGTGAACCTATTACTTGAACTAATAAGACTAAAATATCTACATGTCTTTATTAGGTTTTAGCCTGCAGCACGATTATAAAAATAATTAAATTTTTATAGTAAAGCTCATAATTATTAACCAATTATTTTCATGAAATTAATAATTAAACATGATTTTGTAGAACTTTTAATATAGAAATATAATTAATTATCGGCAATTATAACTGAAACTTATTCAAGATGAATTTAAATTTCTCCTATAAATCCGGAATCAAATAAATAATTGCGTAACTTATTATCAACATCAATACTTTTGAAAAATAAAATATTTTGAGAAAATACCAAGTGTTATTTTTTTAAAGAGCATTTGAAAAGAAAATATAAATTATAAGAAAATGACAAGCGACATGATAATTATTTTTTATTGGTATAATAAGATGGGATATATACAGTAAAGCCCCGATATTTTCATCCAATTGACACGAAAGTCCCAAACTAATTTTTTTTGACACAAAAGCCCGAATTACCGGCATTTATTGACCCGATTGACCTTTTCTGCCGGTGCATCCGGTTTACTTGGTGAAGTGGCACCAAATGCTTACATGGACCACTGATTTATTAAATGAGAGGCTTATGTGGAGTTGTCGACCTTACTTAAGCACCATACCGTCAATCCCCATGAACCCTAGCTTCGTATTTTTCAAAGGAAAAGACAAGAATGTCGTCTTCTTCATCTATTGGAAGCAAGGTTATGCGAAGGTTCAATCCCCCTCAAAGGACACATTGCGATTGCGGTGACTTAGTTGGAAGGTGGACTTCATGGAAGACAAGAAATCCTGGAAGAAGATTCATTGGATGCCCAAATTATAGGGTTAGTTGTTAATGTTGAAATTCTTCATCTTTTAGTTTTTTTTTCTTTCTTTAATCTTGGATTATCCAGGATTCGAGTAAAGATTGCAAATTCTTTGATTGGGTGGATCCTCCACTCCCTAATCAGTGGTACAAGGACTTGCTCTTACAATTGCACAATGGGTGGAATGGAGATGTTGTAGAACAAATGGAAGAAGCAGTAGTAGAAGTTGTTCCAGCTCAAGTGCAAGGTGCAGGTGGTGTTGTTCCAAGGTGGTCAATGTTCTGGTTTATTTTGGGTTTATGTTTTGGTTTGTATTTTAAGATAATGTATTGGGATATGTAGTCACTATGTACGATGTTGTTTCTTTTGCACTGTAATGAACATTTTACTTATGTTGTATTGAATTATGGTGAAATCAAAGTACCACAACTATGAACCACATATGAATAATAAAACTGTCGATAACCAAGGCTAACCTGCACAACCAAACTTGAAATAAAATATGACATTGCTCAATTGTGACCATTGGTTAATGCCCTTGCTTAATTACCAGTAATTGTTTACAAAATATGAATCAATATAAGTGGATATGTACCACCATTTACAAAATATGAACCACAAAGTGGTATGCAAAATATGAACCAAAAGATGGTATGCATCAGTTTACATAGTACCACCTTTTACAAAATATGATAACCCCTATCACTAATCTATAACTAATGCCTTATCTTCACACATTCCTATACCAAGAGGGTCAACCACCTTCTTTTTCAGCTTCTGAAGAATGATCCTCTCTGAGGGTCTCCTTGTTCTTTGTTTCATATTATTCCCAAAATGCCCTTGTTGTACTGGATCATTCACTGGAACACCTTCTTCATCTTCTTCTTGTCCATCTCCTTCATCTCCTTCTCCATCTTCTTTTTCTCCATCTCCTTCTTCTTCTTGTCCATCTCCACCTCCTTCCACTCCATCTCCTTGTCCATGTCCTCCTTCTTCTTCATTACCCTGTCCATCTCCTTCTAGTCCACCTTCAACATTGGCAGCCTAAAACAGAAAAAAATAGTAAAAAACACTTAATCATATACATAAACACTAAATGAAACCTTACCACATATCCAAACTCTTCTAAATGAGCTTTTGTAATTCCAAGGCATCTCATAATGTCTACATCAGTGTAACTGATTTCCTCAACTCTGTAATTTGTTGTGTAATGTAGTCCATATCTGCCATATCCAGCCCATCTCCATCACTCATCACATCTACATCCACCATCTCTTCAGAATTATATTCTTCATTGACCCTTTTTTGGGGTGGTACTGTATTTGAGGTTTCACCTCTTTCAAACCAGCTATGAAAGCCACCCCCACCTCTAGGTACCTACCACCTCCTCTATTTCCCCTTGTCCCCCCTCTACCACGTCTTGTCCATTGGGTTAGACTAGGGTCCAATCTTGGCCTGCCTATTTTCTTATTGGGTTTAGGATCTGGTTCAACATGTGGATTTTTACAGGTTTTCTTGTTGTGCCCCTTTTGTTGACAGTTTTGACATTGGACAGTTCTGCCCTTTGAGGACACTTGAGAGAACTTGTCATCCCTCTCTGATACATGCCTTTTCCTTTTCACAGTAGGCCTGCCTGGCATCCTCCTCTCTAAGGGGGGTAAGGGCTTAATATAAGGAGCTTCTGTCCATAAATTGCTGCCATTAACAGGTAGAATGTTATAACTATAACTTGAAATGTACATTGCCTTACCAAACCACTTGCTGATAAATGTATTTGGATCTGATGAGTTAACATGATAGATGCTTGGGCATGGACACATGGTATCCCTGATACATCCCAAAGTCTACATGCACAACTCCTTTTCTCTATGTTGACTCCATATGATTCAAGACCATTTCTAACTTCAAATTCATTTTGTCCACTAGGGTGTACCCTCCAAAACCTGCAAATAAAAGTTGTTACTAAATTAGCATAAAAGTTATTAATAACTTAGCATAAATGTATACAAAACAAGGAGAACTTACTTCAAGTCCTCACCAAATTCTTCCATTTTCTTAATTGCAGATGGACACACATCTCCTTCCCATTTTTCAGCTAACTCCCTGAGGTTGTAAAACCTATCCATCATATATAGCCTTATCTCTTCAAGCATGGTCAGTAGTGGCTTCTTCCTAGCATCAAGTATAACTGCATTGAAGCATTCTGCCATACCATTTTCTACAGCCTCACAGGCCAATCCAGTGGAAAAGAAAGCCCTGCACCATGTATTTGGCTCCCTTGCCATTAGATGTTCATAAGCACCTGGGCTAATCTGTCTTATCTCATCCATGTGATTCTTGAATTCACCCTCTACAGTTGATTTGGCAGCCTTCCAGAATAGGTTCCTTAACTGAATTCCACTATATACTTTTCTGAAGTTGGCATAGATATGTCGTGCACACTGTCTATGCTCAACATATGGTAACACCTCCTTTGTTGCCTCAAGAAGACCCTTATGTTGGTCTGAAATTACACACATGCCCCTTCCTGCATCCATTCCAAGGTCAACCTCTAACAACTGAAGGAACCACTTCCAGTTAAACTTATTCTCAATTTCAACTACAGCCCAAGCTATGGGAAAAACGTGATTGTTTGGGTCCCTACCTATGGCTGTTAATAATTGTCCCTTACACTGCCCTTTCAGAAAAGATCCATCGATCCCTACTACCCTTCTACAACCCATCTTCCACCCTTCTTTGATTGATTTGAAACATATGTACATCCTTTTGAAAATAGTTGTACCATCATTGTTGTCTTCGACACAAATTTTAATGGTGCTGTCTGGATTGGATCTTAGCAATTCACCACCATAATCCCACACCCTTGCATAGTGATCACCTAATTTTCCCTCAATCATGGACATTGCCCTACATCTAGCCCTATAACTCCTTACCCATGAAATCTTAGTGTGAAATTTGTGTTGAACTTTTTCTTGGATTTCCTTAGCTTTCAAATTAGGTGTCCTAATAAGTTCTTTAAGGAATTGTCTAGCTAACCATGTTGGTCCCATAAGTTTTCCATTGTTAAAATTCTTGACACATGTATGATGTGGATACATTTTCTTTATTTGGAATGACTTTTCAGTGCTCATCCAAGAGGCTTTAACATAATAAGGGCAACCGAATTTCTCATGATCACTAGCACACACACAGTGTAGTCTAACACTATCACATTTATTAAACCTAATCTGATAACCTTTAGATATGGCATGATTTGTTAAACAGAGTTTAAGTTGTTGTGGAGATTCATACCTTTCTCCCTCTTGAGGTTTCATTCTATTCCATTTCACATTTGGATCATGTGTGGAATATTTAAACTGAGCTTCACTATCATTTTCCTCTTCATCCACAACTTCATCTACATTTTCTTCCTCCTCCTGTTCGTCATCCAAAGGTTCTTCTTCCACGGGTGCTTCATCATCTTCAACATTCTCGAATAATGGGATAATGAAGTCTTCATCTTCATCGTCAAGAGACAGTGAGTTCAAGAACTCATCTCTACATCTCCTACTCTGTTTCTTTAGAAGGTCTTCATCTAGTTCCACGTCGATCGTGTCAAAGTCCAACACACCTTCCATCTTCAAGGCTCCAACTCGTATCTCCCTTGGACCCAAATTCGTATCTCCTTCACAGTGAAAACCCTAGAATTGTCGCAGTAGAAAGAGAGGTTTTTCCAGCTCGATTAACCCTTCTTCATTTAATGATGTCCTCATCATCTTCCAAGTAAGCGTTAGTAGCCACATCATCTCGATTACCGGCTATTAAATGAGTTACCGACAAAAAATGTCAATCGGGTCAATAAATGCCGGTAATTCGGGCTTTTGTGTCATAAAAAATTAGTTTGGGACTTTCGTGTCAATTGGATGAAAATATCGGGGCTTTACTGTATATATCCCATTCTTTCTTTTCAAGTATCTTTAGGAACTTTTAATCAACATATATATTACTGTAAAACATCCCTCCATGTTTGAGGCAACAGAAGATAAGATCTTTAACTCGTAAACTATCATACATATGATATTGCATGTACATTGAGCGTTAATGTTTATCTAGTAAACTTCTTTTTATAGATAATACTGTAGAGATATTATTAAGTTTTTATAGATAATACAGTAGACACACACACCCAATTGATTGTTATCAAATATATAATAAGATTCTAGTGGAGTTTATGAACATGAGATTAAGATCTAAACTCATGCTACAAATTTATAATCTAAGTAATGCTGCAACTCTTTCAAGGACAAGGGAAAGCAACAAAAGAAAGCCATTTCTACCTTAAATATAATATTTCAGACAAAAACAATGCAATCTTGTATAATTCAATTTTATATAGAACTAGTACTCCACAAATTATAAATAGTAAGAACAATTCCATTCCCTATTCGATCCACATTAGTAGTTTATTTGATATAGAGAAGTTCCAAACTACATGATCCATGTCATTAACATTTTCATATAGAAAAGTTTCATACTACATGATCCACATCATTTTTTTCGACATGAATAAAGTAATGGGGTATAGCGAAACTCCCTTCCTATAGGCTAGAACTATTTGATAATTCTTTTAAGAATCATTTAGGTTGCGTTTAGTTATGGAAAAACAGTTTTCATTTTTCATTTTTTGTTTTTCCTTTTCGATTTTCGTTTTCCGTTTTCATTTTTCATTGAAAAATTTAGAAAACATGTTTAGTTAAAGTTATTCATTTTTCATTTTTAGTTTTAGAAAATTAGAAAACGTGTTTAGATGTGTATTTTTCTATCGGTTTTCATTTTTAAAAAACGGTAACGGTGGTAAGGTGTGGGTGGGGGCGGTGACGGTGGCGGCGGTGGTGGTGATGACAGGCGATGGTGGTGGCGGCGGCAATTGTGTCAGTGGTGGTGATGACAGGTGGCAACGGTGGTGGTGGTGCTAGTGATGGGTTAGTGGTGGTGGTGGTGGTGATGGTAGGACGATGATTGTCGTGATGGTGTTGGGTTGTTGGGGGTGCGAGTGTGTGTGTTTGTGGGGGTATGTATGTATGTGTGTGTGTTTGTGGGTGAGTATGTATGTGTATGTGTGTGGGTTGGTGTGTGTGTGTGTATGGGTGGGTATGTATGTGTGTGTGTTTGTGGGTTGGTGTGTGTGTGTGGGGGTGTGTGTGTGTGTTTGTGGGTGTGTGTGTATGTGGATGGGTATGTATGTGTATGTGTGTGTGTTTGTGGGTGGGTGTGTGTGTGGGGGAGGTTGGTGTGTGTGTATGTGTGTGTGTGCGGGTGGGTGTGTGTGTGTGTGTTTGTGGGTGGGTGTGTGTGTGTGGGTGGGTGGGTGTGTGTATGTGTGTGGGTTGGTGTGTGTGTGTGTGTGCGGGTTGGGGTGTGTGTGTGTGTGGGTATGTATGTATGTGTGTGTGTTTGTGGGTGGGTGTGTGTGGTTGGGTATGTATGTGTGTGTGGGTTGGTGTGTGTGTGTGTGTGTGGGGGGGGGTAGGTAGAGGTGGATGGGGTGGAGTGGGTGTGTGTTTATAGAAAAATTTTGGAATTAGAAAAATGTGGAAAACAATGATTATCAGTTTTCCAAAATTTTCCAACTTCTTTGTAATTTTAGAAAACGGAAAATTTTCATTTTCCGTGAAAAATTTAGAATAATAGACGAACTAAACGCGTTTTCAAAATTTAGAATAATAGACGAACTAAACTTTTCTTTTTGTTATTTAATTATTTTCTAACTAAAAAATATTAAAAATAAAAGAAAATCTCTCTCTCTCTCTCTCTCTCTCTCTCTCTCTTTCTCCTTCCCTCCCCCCCTCTCTCTCTCTCCCGTTCATCACCCTATACCACCCACACAAACACCACCTTCAATCACCCAAGACCTCCCTCATTCCTCAATTATCACCATTCCTAACAGTTGCAAATGTAAAAAAAAGAGAGATAAAATAAGGAGCTGCAATCGATTCAGAAAGGAGAAAAAAGAAAACTGTAATCGAGTTTCGAAGAAAGAGAAGGAGGGTGCGACTTTGGGTGACTGTGTTTGTCGATTGGATTTTGAGAAGTGAAGGGGGGTTCCGATTTCTAGTGTGAAACCCTTGTCGTCGATCTAACCTTGTTGGTGTTTCAAGGTTCGGTTTTTTCGATCTAACCCTTGATGGAGCTTCCTGTTAAAGCAAGCCCTAGCACCAACCAAAATCGAACTTGAACAGAAGGATTAAGGCTTGAATCTAATAAGATACCTTGTATTGTTGAGGAATCGACTTTGCTTAAGCATGAATTAAAGGAAATTGGGGGTAAACGAGGCTTGATATGTCCGATTAGGAGTTAAATTGGGTTGCAAACTGATCTTGGAAGAAGCTAAGTTGAAAACTGATCTTGCCCTTACAACAGATTCATAACCATCATTGGTATCAGAGGTGACACCTACAGAACCCTGTTCCATAATCAAACTTTGAGATCTGGGTTAAATACACACACTAAAAAGGAACTCCGGATCACATTCAAAGAAGATGAAAATGGTGTGTTCTGAATAGAAAAGAAAAATGGTTACTGAGATCGATGGAGGAATAAGGAAGAACGAATGAAAGCAGCTTGAGGGTCGAAAAGAGATGAATACAAAAGGGAAAATGGTTGATGTCGTCGGTTCTTTTTCTCCGTTGAACAGTGCCGATGGTCCTGTTTGCGATCGATCGGAGGCTTGCTTCAGCTGGCCATGGCGGCGGTTTGGTGGTTATTCAGTCGGTCTGCCATTAAAATGGAAGGAAGACGAGAGGTTGGGTTGAAGAAGGCAATAAATTCGATGGTTGTTGGGTTTTTCTGGTGATTAGGAGAGAGAGAGAGAGAGAGAGAGAGTTTCTTTTGTTTTTTATATTTTTAGTTAGAAAATAATTAAATAACAAAAAGAAAAGAAAAAACAAATAGAAAAGGGCAAATTCATCATTTTTTAAAAATTTAAACTGTTTTGGACAAAAGACGCAGCAAAATGAAAACTTTTGGACTATTTGCGCTAGTACAAACCTGTTTGGCCCAAAGTAGCATTTTTGGACATACCACAGGGACCATTCTTGCAATTTTGTCTATAGTAAACTACCTTTTTTTTTTTTTTTTTTTTTTTTTTTCAATTTTGGTCTTTGAATTAAATTGTTTGAATTAATGTTACAACATTAACCCTTCACCTTTACGTTTTTGTTCACAAAAAACCCTTTCACTTTTGTTTGAATTTTTCATGACCCTCACATTTTATTACATATTATTAGTATTTAGTCATATTAATATTTTTTTGGCAGAAATGGTTCCTCAATTATATTTTGGTCATTTTAAAGTTGCTTCATTTTTGTCTTTATTGGTCCCTCTACTCCCGTTGGTTATTTGTGGCATCGTAGGTTCCTATATTTTCGTTTAAATGTCACTTTATTAGTTGGTATTATTATTATTATTGTTGTTGTTGTTGTTGTTGTTGCTGCTGCTGCTGTTGTTGTTGTTGTTTTTGTTGTTAAACAAAATTACACGATTGGTCACTCTGGTTTACCATATTTAACACATTGAGGATAACGATGGAAAACAAAATTACTCTTTTACTCCTAATACGATTTTTTTATTAATTTATATTTCTCTTTTTGGTTTTAAATTAATGTTTTATTTATTAGAAAATGTCCACCCAATACCATAAAGTCACCGACCATCTGCCATCACCACCACCACCACCGCAAAAATTACATAAATGGTCCATATGGTTTACCCGTGGTCACAAATTCAGTCTCTACTACCTGAAAATACCAAATTACCCTCACATTAACGGACAAAAACTAACGGTCTATATTTTCCAAATTGGTTTTCCGGCCGCTGCCATACATGACAATAAAGTTCAATTTGTGAGACCAATTATTTATTTTCCTCATTTATTGCAAAAAATAATGATTTAGATTTTCTTACTTATGTAATTAGATGACATTGTTTATCTTCCTTTATTAGATTATCCCAATGCAATTCAACATGCTATTTTACTCTACAAAGCAATACCTTCCGATCCAGCAATACCGAAAAACCCTTTCTAGTTAAATAATAACTTGTACATCCAGATCTTTCAAATGTACATTAATTATCTACCAACCCGCGAGAGACATGAATACATGGCACCCAAGTCAAACAAGAGCGATGCACGTATTGTATTTATTGGAAAGTACTTGAGACCTTATCTACAGTCTCACACATCATATTTAAATAATATTCATTATGACTTGCAGTGGCATTGTCTGTCAATCATATCAACCATAGGGACCATTTATGTAACTTTGTCTTTAAAATATAACATCTTGAAACTTAATATTGAAAGTAATATAACTAGTACATTGTTTAACCTAATATGAAATTTTATAGAGACTCATACTAATATTCATATACCAAAAACAAGCATTAAGCTTATGTTTTAGTTGATAAGATAGCTATAAGTAATAGTTTAAAGCTAGATGGCTAATATATGACATTAAGAAACATTTATAAAACTTATGGAAATTAACATATAATTATATAATTGAAAAAAATTGTTAAACTATGCCTTATGGACTTATTAGTAATATATCTTAACTAGTTTTTTCTGCTTATTACATTGAAATAAATTAAAAAAATAAAATAGCTAATACACACTAAAACCATATAAACACAATTAAATACAAATTCCACATAAATTAGATACAACGATTATGAAATAAGGATGACCATATAAATCAAGTTAAGATTTAGAAAATAACATTATTTTAAAAATAACTCAAACTATATGATAGAATAGTATTTAAAAGAATAATAAAAAAAAAGTAAAATACAATTGGGCCATTAAGGAGTCCAATCATCGCCCCATTGGGCTAGTAAAGATCTTGTCTATGTAATGGAGAATTGGAGATTGGAGCCTGACCCGTTGAACCCGGTTGTCAGATGTTAAACACAATCCGATTTCAGATCCGTTTTCTTCACTTCAGGCTTCAACCTCCGACGAGCGAAAATTCACCAGTGATCGAAATTTGATCCGGCAGATATGGCAGGACTACTAGCATGGGCGGCGGACGTAGTGAGAGCAGGAGGCGGCGCAACCAGTGAGGAAGACGAATCCGATTCGATCCCTTTGATATTCAATCCCGAACAGGAGAAGTACGTTAGGGAGTTGAACGTAAAAGCAGCGGCGTTGAGCCGGTCGGTACAAGACCTCCGTCAGAGAATACCGCCGTCGGATATCTCCCAACGCCTCCCGGACCTCCACGCACATTCCCTCGCCTCTAATGCTGCCCTAGCCCTCCAATTGAACGCTCACTCTTCTACCAAAGAACAGGTATTTTGTAGATCATATGTTGATTTTTCGGTAACTTTTTCATACCGAATTTATTAGAATTAGAGTTCGAGTAAACCTAGTTTGAATCCAACTAAGTCAGCTTCACTGTGTAAATCGATTTTGAGACAGAATTACCGCCTGCGATTAAGCGAGCTTGTGATTACAGATTTTAAACCTACTCAAGTGCTTATATACTCGATTTATGTTATACATGTTATAGCCCTTTCAAAAATTATGAATTAGATCTACAACGAACTCTGTAGGAGATATGTTTCTTCCAGTTGCATATTTTGGAGTTTCTCACGATTGAGTGTACATGATTTAAATCTGCATATGAATTGGGCATATCAGACAAGCTTCAACCTTAAGTTTGACCATGGCATGTTATGACAGGCACAACTGCGAGAAGCTACACTGCTGGAAGAAAATGCTGCATTTGAAAAGGCGATATCAGATTGTGAAAGTAAGATACAAGACAAGTTGAGAGAAGCTGATGAGCTTCGTGCTAAGCTAGAGGTAAGAGCTTGCTTTCTTTTCTTCTTCTTCCTCTTCTTCCTCTTCTTTCCAATCTTACAATGGCTGCAAAACGTGTGTTCTTCTCCTTCTTTTGAATCTTACAATGGATTCAACTCTGAAAAACCCATTAAGTTTTAGTTACATTTGGATATTTTCTTCCAGGAACTGGATGCAACTCTTACAACTGAGCTGCAAGTTGAACAATCTACACAAGATGACAACAAATCTGGTGATTCTTCATTTAAATCAAAAGCTGAAGCTGAAGCACATACCACAGCTTCAATTTCTTCCCTGAAGGAGAACTTAGATAACAAGAAAAAGGAACTGGTTTGTTACAAATCTCTAATTTGAATCTCTTCACATTTCATTCTCGATCTTTTCATTAATATTTTACATTTTTTGTATCTTGTAGGCTTCTATGGAAGAGATTGTTTACAACTTAGAGAGACAATGGTCAAAGGTTCAAGAGGAGTCACTAAAGCAGCCTTCTCCAGGTGTCTTATTCATTCATATACTCATACAATTGTTCAACAAAATACCAAATATGCCCCTAAGCTATCAATAATTCAATATGTTTGATAAATTTGTTTGCAGCTCAACGAGAAAAGATGTTGGATAAACAACTTCACAGCTTATTGGAACAATTAGCTTCAAAACAAGTATATGCACTTACTCAATTTATATTCCTTTTCTTTACATTTATTACTAATATATATATTTAATTTAATAGGGTCAAGCAGAAGGGCTAGTGGGTGAAATCCATTTAAAAGAAATGGAATTAGAGAGATTAAATGGTTTATGGAGGAAAATTGAAATTAGTAATAATTCAGAAGCAAATGCTACAAGAAATAGATTTGGAAGAAGTAATTCTGATTCTGATAAAGAAAAAGAAAAAGGATATTTTTCATCATCATCTGATTATATTGTGGATCCACGTTATAAGGCAACAACTGGACGCAATACTACTACTGAAGCCTATTTACACAGACAAATGCTACTCAGGTCTGCTTTTGTGCTTTATATTCTCATTCTTCATATATTAGTATTTATCAAAATATCATTCTGATATTAATAATAATAATTTCCCTACATCCACATTTATGTAAATATCTTTGTAGTCGATATATGATTCCTCATAAAAGTTCTAGATTTGTTTATGTGTATTTGCATTTATTTGGAACTTTTATATTGATTGTTGGTGATGTTAGTGTCATCTGTCATTTCAGATAATTGGTATTTACAAGTGTAAATGAAATAGAACTTGATAATAAAAATGATAATAAAAGATTAAGAGTTATACAAAATTACATAAATGGTCCCTTTGCTTTATGAAAAACCACATGTTTAGTTCCTAACTTTTTTTCTTGATGAAGATGGTCTCTGTGGTTGTGATTTCTTGCCTCTGACCATGTAAAATGACATGTTGATAGAAACTGATAACTAATTCTCATCAACTTATAAAACAGTAAATGAAATTGAAAAGAGACCTTTATGTTAATTGAAAACTATCTAAAACACATGATTTAAACAATCAGAAAGGAAATCCAAATGATTATCCTCTTGCTCTAATGCCCTAATTAGAAAAGTTCTCCAAAGAGAAACCCTCCCAATATAGGATGATTCCAATTACAAAATACTCAAATCCTCTATTCCTAATGTCATTATGGTTATTTATGCTAATATAGGATGATTCTAGATGGGTGTGAAACAGTAAATGGTAAATATTACATTTAAGTCCCTCATGTTTACCCATAATATATGATCCATTCTCTATCACATGTATATTAATATAAATTGTAATTCAATAAAAAAAAGGATAAATTTCAATGGAAACGAACACACAAGTCATTTTACATGAGTTGGGACCAAACACAAAAGAAATCAAAACCATAAAGACAGTCTTCATCAAGAAAAATAGTTAAAGAATAGTTTGGTCTTTTAATAAAAAAATAATTGGAGTTGAATTAAAGATGAAATGCAATTGAATTTTCACAATTCGCAAACCAAACACTGACTTACTTTCATTCCCGATGAAAATAACCATAGATACTCGATATCATTGTATTCATAATTCATAGAATTATGGTTACTAAGAACACGATTTTGATCATAGAATCGCACGATTCTATGATCCCAAATATGTATTTTGATTTTGATCTTAGCAAACTCGTTTTTAGGTAGAATCATAAAATTAGAACGTGGAATCATAAAGTTATTCCACAAAGTTGTAAGCTATCTTATTCTATCTGTGTTGGGTTTTATTTTATTTTATTTTTGAACAACTTTCCTTCTTGTTTAACTCTAGTTAAATGAGTATAATTCTAAAACTCTAAAAGGAAACAACAAATGGGAAGCAACGATTAGTGTATATGAACTGTTGAATTGTTGGACTATTGAATTACTCAAAAGAGATGAATATGAAATATACTTGTCATTCTATTTATTTATTTTCATTTTAACGTGATGGTTTAGCCATTTAAGGTACATTTAAGATAGAAGTAACATGAATAAAATAGTCCAATAAGTTATAAAAATGAATTGTCATATTATACAATATAATGTTTTTGGCATTTTATGTTAGTTTTAAGGGTGATGGTTTGGAAAGTGAATAGTACGATACATAATTGATGTTAGATAATTACCTACAAGATTTTTCATTTTTGACATTATTTTCTAGATATCTAGAAGAAAATTAATTAAAACTAACACTAACACTAGTTCCTTGGTGGAATTTTATGATTTCGATTTGAATTTATGATTATGATTTTGCAAACCCGAAAATAATTCTACGTAGAATTTTTTACGAACCTTGCACATACCAATAAATTTTCACTAATAAAAAAAAACAATAACATAATGGAAAAGGCATACAAGATATAATCATTGTTAAAATTTACTTTTATCTAATACATGACAAAAAAAATATTGTTAGAGTTTTACTATTATCTAATGAATTGAATTTATGATTATGATTTTGCAAACCCGAAAATGATTCTACGTAGAATTTTTTACAAACCTTGCACATAACAATAAATTTTCACTAATCGAAAAAAAAAAAGAGTAACATAATGGAAAAAGGCAAGATATAAACATTGTTAGAATTTACTTTTATCTAATACATGACAAAAAAAACATTGTTAAAGTTTTACTATTATCTAATGAATTGAACCAATACATGACAAACAAAGTACTATAGTTCCTTTTACAATATAAAAAAAAAACATTATTTGGTTTTTAGTTGAACCGGTATGGTGATCGGTTCGTGACTCAATCGGTTTAACTGGTTTGACCGTCAAGTCAACCTGGTTTTTAGAATTTTCATTTTATTTGTATTTTCCTACGCATACAGATACATACATATATACATAGTCTGGGAATTTAACGTCCACAGGTTAAATATTAAAAACACATATAAAACCATAAAAATCATTAAAAAATACATACAACCATAAATTTTACAACAATCTACATACATTAAAAAAATAAAGTAAAATAACTAAACAAAATATAACATTAGACAAATACAAACGAATCAAAAAACTTCATAACATTTACTATGTATTTTTATTAAATTTAAAGAGAAATCTAAATAAATGTGAAATAGATTACCAATGTTTGTTATGCAAAATGCTTCATTTTCCATGTGTTTTTATTCTATTTAACTGGTTCAATTAGGTTTTTATAAAATCAGCCAGTTCAAAAGTCAACATAAAACCGGTACTAGTTCAACTGCTCTATTCCCCAGTTTTTGGTCCAATCGGTCGGTTCGAACCGAGTTTTAAAACACTGTCTTTTACAATACATGCATTGTAAAATACAGTATAAGACTGTCTTATCGCGTCCTATCTTCCATAACAAATGGGGCCATCCTAGTTCATTTGTTCGGAAAGTGAATTGGAACAGAGGAGTCAGATTATGTGGTCAGACTACAACTTGCATTTGAGATAGTAACAACACTTTGATAATTTGCATCATTGGATTCTTGATGTACTAAATGACAAGGAGTCAACGATACTTGATAAAATACGCTTCCAATGAATTATATAGTTAGCTGCAAACTATTGCACAATTTAAACTACACTCATAAACTATACAATGGTTTGTTATATCGTAATTCATAAAAGTTACTTACAATCATGATGATGTAAGCAGATTTTATATATGTAGATAGATCCATGTTCTATAACACACAAACAAAAAGGAATATATGAAATCATAAATGAGATCCATAATAATTCGATTTCAACAAGAGGACAATCCAACTTTTTTAATAGAATGATAAAATAATGCACATGAAAAAACAGACTGGCTAATGTGCTTGATAGTGTTTTTCGTGGACCTATTTTGGTACTTTGACACTTGACATAACTTTTTTTCTTCGTAGTCCATAATGGTGTTATATAAGAAGCCATCATCCAATCATGGAAAATGACATGAAAGAAGATGACTAGCCAACAAAAAAGACGACTGGTAACCTAATTCTTGTGTTGTTTATTGCATGGATCTGTTATTTTCCAACCCACATGACCATATGTTACATGAATAATATATATTACATATATAGTATATATATAATATATGTAGTTTGTTTTCTTCTCTTGAAGCTTCGATTTCTTCTTTTTAATGTATATAATGACATGTTATGTGACAAAGATCTATATGGTTTAACTAAATGTTATATTCTAAGTATATTTAACTTATTATTGATGGTAGCTCATTGCTAAATGATGAATTGTTGAAATATCAAGTTGTAATAAATTAGATTATTGAAAACTGGTTGATAATGTCTAGCCAACCAAATCTTGGGTTTAATTAGATGATTAGTCTTCTTCATCGATTTAATTCATCCTTAAAATTTCAATCCAACCCGTTAATTTTGGATTTGAGGATTTGGTCGTTTTTAATCCGTTTTACCATAAATTGATTATTTGATTATTAAAATCTCAAATTAGATAAACGTTTCAAAACACTAGTCTTTTTGATTCGTTTTTCGCTTATTTTATTTTGTGTAATCAAGTTAAAGATCTCACATACACAAATCCATCGATCAAAGATGATGGGCATATGCATACGATTTACCTCATACATGAGAAGAGGGTATATTTGACAAAACTATCTATACTCTATAGTTTTTTAAAAAGCTATAACCTTTATTTATCTAGAAATTATCATGAAAAATAGAAGCAAGCTTTTGAAAGATATAAAAGTACAAAACATATACATTAAATCTTTAAATTTTTTCTGAAAGTTCTAAAAAGCTCAAAGCCGAACATACTCTAAAACAATTTGACTAGATGATTGCATTCGTGTATTGTTGTGAAATTCCACTTCAAGTAAAATTTATACCATAAACATCAAACTTGAATTAATGAAATGTCTTATCATATCAAATCGTTCTTCTATATGTTCTTAAATGTTATTTTGTATTTCCGAGTTAGTTTTTACCACATGTTATTTTTTATAGTTCTATGTCATTTTATGTTATTTTCCATTTCCCAATTAGTTTTTACTAGACCCATTTTTTATTGGTAGCAACTACTTTTCGAGCTAGTCTAATAGCTTTTTAAAGAGTTAGACGTGAGAAAAAACCAAAAAAGAATAACCAAATCGAACCAAATAATGTTTGGATTATTTGGTTTTGTTTATTAGGTTTTTCGTTAATTTGATTTGCTTAACCTAATAATAATGATCTTATTAGGTTTTTTTTTTTTTTTTTTTTTTTTTTTTTTAGATTCTGCTTAGAATAAGCCATTAAATATATCTTTATATATTTTTGTATAAATAAATATGTTATGTTTAATTTTATAGTTTAGTTAATTACCAAAGTTTTTACTTGATCTATTACTTGTTAATGAATAACTGTTATTATTTTATATTTATGTTGTATGTGTTATTACATACATAATTACCAATATGTTAATTCAAATGTGAAAGCCTCAAATTAATCGTGCAGCTCCACTACTTCATTCATTTTTTTTTTTGTTGTTGTTGTTATGATTAAATGGTGTTTGAAACTTTAAATTTGTTTAACTTGGGGAACCACATGACCATATCGAATTGAAAATACATATTGCAGGAATAATATTTTATGTATCGATGTTTTTTTATTTGGTAAAGAACTAATATGTTATATTTATTATTTTTTAGTTTAATATTTTTTTCAAGTGAAATATTATTCAGTTTAACCTGTAAACCGAACGAAATTAACTACAACCCAAAATCTATTAAACAAAACTTATTTGGTTTAGTTAATAGTCACTTTAAACATATTAAATAAATCATTTAAATTGAACAATTAAACTAAAAAATCAAAATAACCGACTTAATAACACTCTAATAAAATATCTTAAAAAAATAAACTAGTTTTTAATAAATCGGAGTTGTCCTCAACAAAAAATAAAATTTATTATACAACTTAGTGGGGGACCAACAAGTGATCCAAAATGTGTCGGAAAAACATAATTATTGATGCATATCTTATGGGCTTTACATTTCTCTGTCCATTCTTTTTTATTTATATTTACTTTATTTTATCCCGGACTAATTTAAATATAAAATAACTTATCATATAGAAAGATCACAAGGTCTAAATGCAATGTACTTTATCCATAATATATTAAAGGAATAGATCTCACAATACTCCATAAGAGATATATAGTTACAACTTACAACTTTTAATCCACAATATTACATTAAAGGCATTACAATAGCCTAATAAATAATAATCAAAATTAATGATAAATTAAATATAACAAACAACAATTTTCCCAATTTACCCTTTCACATGTGATTTCTCTTCAGCCGATCTTAGACCCTCCATCTTCAACATATGAAGCAGGAAATCACTCCACGTGTCAATAGGTCCAGGTAAACACCAATGGACACAATCATTATACAAAGTAACATTCTCATTGGGCCAATGTCCATATCTACTTGGGTGCCCATCTGGCCTTAGTAACATAGATTGTGTTGCATCCAAAAGCCTATACTTTAACCCTTTTTCTTTCCCCTCCTTTTCACCTCTTCTAAACTCCTCAATTTGTGTCATGTACAATTCCAAATTTACCCCTTCCAAAGTTATCTCACTACTCTTAAAAGGCTTCTTCCTAAGACAATTCCCACCCTCATTCCACTCCCCGCCCTCGAAATGCATAGGGGCAAATGTCCGTAAAATCGTTATACCCTTGAACTTTTCTCGACTGTTGATTGCTTTGAATGCAGTTCTGATTGCCTTTCTGTATCCAAATGTCATGGGATAGTCTGTGATATTTTCTACCTGACAATATCGACAACCGACGATTTGACGGTTCTCATAGTACAACGCAGGCCGCCAAAACCAGTGGCCTGTGTTGAGTATCAGATAGTTGAATTCGTCGATTTGGGTGGTCCATTTTTCGTTGAATTCGTCTAGGTAGAGATTGAAGAGGCCATTGTGAGTTGGACCGTCTGCACTGGCTTCTTCTGATTTTACCAAAAATGGAGACCAAAATGTCGCGAGTGTGAAGTTGTATGAAACGTAATACCAACGTTTGAAGTTTTCATCTTTTGTTATTGATCGATCTATCGGATATTCGACCTGGAATGTAAAATTACATAATTGTTTAAATAATTTATTTAAACAGCCAAAAATAGTAAAAATTTGAAAAAGCAAAGAACAAGTATATCGAGAAAGTATGATATTTTACTTATTTTAACTTTTTCCTTTTTCTATTTATGCACTAAATTTGATAGCCAAGTAAAGTAATATATGCAAAGTAGATATCCCAATAACACCAAATAATTACTTTTGTTTTTTATTTTAAAATGTCAGTGATTATAGAGTTTTCTAACTTTTTGCCTGACTTTATAAAGCTGTTTACATTTACAGTGTCGGTTTTAAAAAAATGTAAAAATAAAAGCATTTAACCAGATATCTGTTATTAAAATGTTTGATTTCGTACAAAATTATAAAATATAAGATATGGCAAAAGTTTATTATAATATATATATTTATTTGAAAAATAGTTGAGGAGTCCATGTTGCCAGCAGGATTATATTCCCTGAATATTGTCACCGAGTAAATGTTATAATATTAGTCCAGATCTACAAACTTTTATTTAAAACATATATTTATTTATATATTAATACGAATCTTATATATGGTTGAAATAATACTTTGGTGTGAAAATTTTAAATTCGAAAATCTGATTAAAGTCAAAAATAGACTTGAGAACGATTGACTACCTTGATTTGTACATAATTAAAAGATATTTAATTTAATTATTATTTTAATCAAATTGATGGAACATTATAATTATTGGAAGAAAACAATAATAAAAAGACAAACTTCCTAGCAAATAATTAAATTCCAAGACTTTTACCCTTTTTACAAAATTCAGTACATCTCGTTCTACTTACTTTCCTCACCCAACACTCAACCACTACCCCAAGAAAAAGACCTAAATCTCACACACACACACACATATATATATATATATATATATATATATATATATATATATATATATATATATATATATATATATATATATATATATATATATATATATATATATATAAACATTGTGTAAGGATGTATATGTCTATTTGTATAACTTTTGGGTATGAATCTTTTATATAACGTACATTACACTAGCTCGTGGTTTAGATGCACAAAGTTTAAAACAATACATAGGATATACAAATAATCACGTTTTTAGTAGCAAATATTTAAAAAGTGTATCTTAAAACATAAAAGTATTGATCATTTATTAAAAAAAATGTATATTTCAAAAGGGAAAAATGAGAGTTTTGTACCTTGAAGATAAGCAATTAAAATAAAAAGTTGGAAAAAAGGATTTATGTATTTGAATCGCAAATGATTAGAGGAAACTTGGGAATAAAAGTTGATGATAAGATCTTGGAAAATGAGAACCAATTGTGAATAGCATATTTTCCACGTAGGCGTGAGGTCCACTTCCATGTGCATAATTACCCATAAGATGCTATCTAACTCTTGATTATTAAACTATCATGACTTCATATTTTTATGACATTTTACCATTTTATAGTATGTTTATATTTCATTTTATATCAAATAAAAAAGATTTGTTGTAAGTTTTAGTTCACTCCACCACTATGTACGTATATATATAAATTTAAAAATAATGAATAATAATATAATACCCACCTTTTAGAAACACAAGTTTTATATATATTTCAAATAATTTATGAAAAACATATCAAAGTCAAAACCTATTCACATTTTAAATAACATTTTTTACAAATATAATGAAAAACACAAAAAATATGTGGTTATGCATAACGATAAAATCCAAACTTAACAATTATTCTTCCCACACCTTTAAATAACCTACTAAGTTCGTAACAATATCCAATTATGACATAGTAA